TTCCTTCGTTGGGGACCCCTGACATTTCTTCCAAAATCTGAAACACTTCCCAACGTTGGATCTGCCTTTCCATAAAGGGTAGTTGAATATTTCATCGACATCAACCCGGTTAGTAAGTTAAGCCATTTTGTTTGGCGCGAAAGCTAACACCAATTATGATTTCACCAAAACTTCGCTTATTTATCTTAACACATTACTAGCAGATCATTATTTATTTAGACTTTTTGTTCCTTTTGTTCATTTGTTATATTCTGCAGCTGGGTTATTATGTACTTAGATACGTCCGTCATGAACAAGGTAAGCAGCTAAGCAGCAGTTGTACACTCATGGAATGAGGTAAACATGCAAGTCATCGCTGCGCCGGAGTGTGCATGCCAGTTTGTTGTGATCGACAGCTACAATAAATATGGCATTAAGCGAAACAAAATATATACACTGTGTATCCATTTTCAGTCAACTTCACTTCATTTCAAGGCGTAAGTAGACGCAATATGATTGTGAATTTTGTGAATAATGCGGACCGAGGTTATAATCATTTGTAACTGCCAGTTGTCTTGTGGTCTGAGTTGGGTATTCATTACTGTTTTCGTAAAAATCATTAGCGACAATCGATTATGAAATTTTGCAATCGATTGTCGCGTCGGAAAAGGGTAACCAATCAATTTTCGATTATAATCGATCATCGGAACACCACTAGTATAGAGATTCTGTACATTGCTTATCCCAAGAGCAGGAGGCTAGTAAGCCTTGCCGATGAGCCATGGTAGTAGTTTCAGTAAGCGCTGATAGGTGCTCGGTAAGAAATTGGTGGTCTCTTTTCTGCATGAGTAGAGCTGAGAAGATCATTCTATCTTCCTCCTCTGTAGAATTCTTGAACTTGGTGATGAGAGTTTCATTAATCGTTCTAGATCTATTCAATCCAAAGAACATCCTCCTGGCGATGGTATCTAGTTGAGCGAATTTGCGATCGTCTACTTTGTAAGTTCTGGACTTGGCATCGCTGATTAATTTAAAGTTGTCATCAATATCCTGGGCCTTGAAAAGGGGTCCATATTGTGTCCAGCAAATTTCTTGGCATTGAAGACCGAAATGTGTAGAATGGACTTTTGAAGATTTGGAACAGGCTGTATCCAAATTAGCTGGTACCGCTGCAATCGGATCAATAGGAGGTAAGGTGATATTGTCTACATCATCATCCTTCATCAGGTAAGTCTGAGTTGAATTCTCGTTCTTCGATGGGGAAGCAAGTTGTAACTCATTCACCATCCAGTATCTGATCTCAGCATCTGAGAAAATGATACCTTCTTCCTCTGACGTAGGGTCACATGTCGGAGTCCTAGATCTGTAGGAAGATCTATGAGAGGACTGTGGTGAACGGACTGACGAGTGGCTAGTGTAAGGAGACCTTGGAGGAGACATCCTCGGCGAGCGCTGGGGACTTCGCGAGCTCTTCTAAATCTTCTGGGCAAAGGTAGATATGGAGCCACTTAGCCTTCGCGACCTTCGCGAATGTATCGAGTCAGTGTCGAATCGACATATGGCGCTTGCTTCTGCAAGCGACCTCTGTGTTCTACAGGGTGTGGGCTCGTGGCGCTCCTTCTCAGCGATGTCCCTCGCAACTGGATAGGCTCTAGCTCCTTCGCGGGCGGAGGCCTGGGACTTCGCTGCGAACTGATAAGCTACGGCTGGGTTGCCCTTAGCGGGAAGCGTTTGTGGGCTCTGGGGCCCTACGCGAAGCCAAGGCGGGCTCTGGGGCCCTGTATGACTTATTAAGGGTTGGGCTCTGGGGCCCGGGGCCCGTGGCTCTGGGGCCTCTGTAAACCGTAACGGTCCTCCATCAGTCTCATGATTTGGTTAACCAGGTCGTCTGGGACGGTCAGCGCTGGCGTTGAGGGTGGCCTCTCTGTGAAAGTGACGGGACTCTCAATCGTAAACTCAGGCGTCAGCGTAGGCATCTCTGGTTGCGTGTTTATCTGCGCTGTAGTGACGGTAGCAGATACTGGACGTTTCTTATGACGTACATCTGGAATGATAATCAGGGGCGGTGGGGTAGCCTAATGGTTAAAGCGTTGGCTCTTCACGCCGAAGACCCGGGTTCGAATCCCCACATGGGTACACTGTGTGAAACCCATTTCTGGTGTCCCCCGCCGTGATGTTGCTGGAATATTGCTTAAAGCGGCGTAAAACCAAACTCAGTCAGTGGAATGATAATCGGAATGTCATCATCATATAAACATAATTCTGAGATAGGTAGAATATCGGAGGCAAAATTATTTGTAGTTTTCGTAGATTTCCCTTTTGACGAAGCTGTGGACCTGGGGGTTCGAAGCGTACGTTGAGATGATGTGGACGCTTTCCTAGTCTTAGACTGTGAAGACGGAATGTCTTGAGATGCAGGTCGCTTCTTGGACATAGCGGACTGCGTCCCACGCTTATCCCCCGAGGGAAACTCCGGCATGCCACCAGCCGGTGGCGGTCGATCAGTCAACAGTTGACAGGGTATAATAGCTTCCGATCTATTAGCCATGACTGAAGATTGTTTGCGAGATTTATCTGCCTTCCGTCTCAAAGCGGAACATAAATATTTATCAAAGGCAGAAATTGGTAAATTAATACATAATTTACAGCGAGAAACAATAGAACATGGAGTAATGCAACTAGGGCATTTTAAATGTGGATCGGTGGCGAATAGCGTGAAGTTTACAACCTGTGCAGATTCTCATTAGCGTAAACTGCTGAACAAACACGGCGAACCGTGAATAAAACAGCAGAAACATGACTAATAATCAATGCAAGTTGAATAAGGATACTAGTTACACCTCTATAACTGAATATAAGAGGTACTAAACTAAATATAAATAAAGGATATAGTGTGTTGGGAGACACAGGCGCTCTCACGTCCAGCTCACTGGGTGAAGAAGGAGAGAGTGAGGCACATGGGTTCAGGTGGCGCCCTCGTTCACGCGCTTGTGGAAGGGAGGTAACTCGTGGTGAGTACTAATTAGTGATTTTTTAATTGAAGGGAACTTCAATTGGGAGATACACGTGTTTCACTATGTTAGCAAGAAGAAGAAGACAAGCAATAAGCATGAGTCAGGATAAGGAAAAATAATCCAATTTGTGGAACAAACACTTACTTTTTCTTCTTTGAGTGGCATTTTAGAAGTTGGAAAGTAGAATATAGACATTCATGCTTGACAATGGTACACGAATCTGTATCTAAATGTTGCACTTATGAAATAAAAGAAGTTATCAAGTTTGTCTATACCTTACTTTTTCACACTACACAGACCTCTGAACACACTCAATATGTCTCCGCTATGTAATACATCACTAATCCAGAGGCCCAGATAAGCTGCGTATCCGGGTAAAATACGCATAGAAAATTTCCAACTACACATTGAAAAATAATTGTTGCGTACCAATTACACATTTAAACTGTTAGATACGAAAAGAGTTTAAAACAAATGCGTACGGAATATACTTATAAAAATCGCTTGCGTAATGAAAAAGACATCGATTGCTATCAAGTTGTACTGTTAGTATAGGACAAGTGTTTTACTGTCAGTATAGGATGACTGATTTTTTATGAAATCATTTCCCTTATATTAAAGTTGGTTTTGATTAGGTATGGCATAAGGCAGAACATACCTGCTTAGTAAACTTACTCTATGACACAATACTTAGGTGTGTAAAATGACTGAAATATGTACATATTTGAAAGCAGTGGGTAACGGAAAATGAAATACCCACTAAACATTCATAATAACCTCTCCAAAAAAATACAGTGGGTACAGTACCCACATTAGCTAAATCTTATCTGGAGCTCTGCTAATCCCAATGTTATTAATAGTATTCTTGGGCTTAATGTCACCAAACTGTGGGTGCTACAACATTATGTGCACATGTTCCTATTGTGTTTCACAGCAATGTCATTAATTCATTCACATGGGCACAATGTGTGAAGCCAATTTATGGTGTCCCCCGCCGTGATATTGCTGGAATATTGCTAAATGCGGCGTAAAACCCAACTCACTCACTCACTCACTAATTCATGTAAAATCACAACACAGACATCAGAGATCTGAGATTTTATATATACTGATGGAAATAAATAAGGGACACATGACACAAAAGTGTTCCTTTATGTTTTTCCAGGTTTCTTTGCAAGCTTTGTATTAAAATTGCACTGGCTGAAAATCTAAAAATCTAGGGACACTTCAATAAGTGTTTTTCCTCATTTTCTATCCCTCATCATATTTAGTGAGTGAGTGAGTTTAGTTTTACGCAATGTTCCAGAGCTTCTCACTCTTCTGAGTGACAAACGAATGCTTTAACCACTAGGCTACCCCAACGCCATCTCGGTATATTTAGATATGTTTAAACATCTATCACCATTAGATTGCTAAAGGACTATTTGCATCAAGGTAAGTGGTGTCATGTAAATTACCTTTTTATTCTTTAAAATTTATTTGGGCATTGTATTATTGTTTGTGTAGGGAACTATACATCATATCATGACCTAGGTATGGAAATATGAACGGTGTGTCCTTCTGTAATATTGTACTATTCATGCTCAGCAACTAAAGTAGAGTTAGTGAGTCAGGTTTTATGCCGCTTTTAGCAATATTCCAGCAATATCACGGCGGGGGACACCAGAAATGGGCTTCACTCATTGTACCCATGTGGGGATACTAAAGTTGTTGAGTTAGTGAGTCAGGTTTTATGCCGCTTTTAGCAATATTCATAACAGGGGGCACCAGGAATGGGCTTCACACATTTTGCCTGTGTGGGGGAATCAAACCCAGGCCTTCGGTGTGACGAGTGGACACTTTCACCACAAGGCTCCACCCCACCCCAGCTACCAGTGTTGGGTTTAGAACTACTTTGAACAGAATGGATGTAACAGTATGGAGCAGACAACTCAAGGAACAAAATCACGACAACTCTGGGAATCAAACTGATGATCAACACAGATATTCTCAACCAAAACAACCCACCTTATCCGGATCCATTCCCTTGACAAACTCAGCTCGCCAGAACTTCATGGCTTCTTCCAGAGACACACCGATTCCCTTGAGGAAGAGGCCATACTGCATCCTGCCGCCATGCTTCAGGTGGTGGTTGCTACGGAGACCCTGATGGAGTTGCTGCATACACGGAGGGAAGGATGTCCGAGACAGCTGCACAAAGAACAAGCAGAAACAATCAATTTCTTTTCTTTTATGCTGGGTACCAGCAATGGTTTATTTGACAGGAATTAAGGTCTTTGACATTTTACAAAATGACGCATTGGTGAGCAGCACAGGGAACATGCAGAACCAATCAATTTCTATTCTTTTTATGAAACCAGGGCTCGATTCAAGAGATGTTAACCTACTTGCACCAGGTGCAACAAAAGATAAATACCTAGTTGCACCAGCCAAATTCCAGTTGCACTGCTCTTATCGCAATATGTAATGAAAGAAATGTGCTACTGAATTATTCAAAGCTTAGATAGCAAATAAGCTGACACAAAAATGCTTATAATGTTCAATTTATTGTTGATTTATTTCTCAAAATTGACTTGCACCTGGTGAAAGTTAGACAAATAACTAGGTTGCACTTTGTAATATTGGGTTGCACCAGTGCAAGTAACAATGCACTAAATCGAGCCCTAGAAACTCTTTAGGGATTGAACCATTTATGGTTTATTTGACAGGAATTTGTCTTTGACATTTCACAAAATGCTGCAGTGTTGAGCAGGTTTAATTTAAGTCACGTCAACAGTATTTCAGCCATATTGTGACTCCAAAGTGTTGAAGTTGATGGGACCTTTGCAAATACTGAGTTATTCGAGGTTCCAGACAACCGATAATAATTAATAAAGAAAGCGTATGATGGGACCAAAGTTTTACTTCAGTACAACTGGAAGGTTGAACAAAAAGCATAAGTACATGGCTCTTGCTGTAGAAACAAGAAAAAATTCCAAGACTTTGTGAATTGATTTGCTTATTGGTGCACACAGAATGGAATATAAAGTTGGTTCTCCTGTTGCAAGACTTTTTTGCTCAAAGCAGATAGGCTGAAAATGGGAAAAACCCAATGGAGACATAAAAAACACCTACAGCACAGAATTGAGTCACTGACATCACGAGCTTTGGGATGTAAATGAGATCACATATGCCTTATCTCAAATTCCATGCTTTGGACTTTATGTAAGCAAGGTCACATGTCAAGCAGCTGCAGTTCAATTTGTGATGACATTATTCAGCTTACCATCCATCACTGAAAACTATATAACAAGGAATTATAAATCTACAGTCCTGCCATTTGCTGACAAGTTTTTAAATTTCAATGGTTTTACCAGTGTGTGCAATTTACGCTGGTCCTGTGGTCCCTGGCTAGTAAAAATTCATCAGGACCACTAAATGGTACATTTGCAGTGGTCCTGGTGGCCAGTGAATTTTGTATTGATAGTTATGTAATTTTGGTTTTTGACCAGTGAAGTGAGGTGAGGTGAAATTGGGTTTAACGTCGTACCTGAGAATATTTCGCTCATATGATGACGTGCATGCGTGTGTATGTGTATGTGTATGTGCGGATACTTGTACTAGCCCAGACTGAAGCTGGTTTTATAGTGTTAGCCCACTGAGATACCATGCCGCAGTTAAGCATGAATACCAAACTCAGACACATTATACTAACTCCGAGCTGACCAGTCCTTGTTGTACCCATTAATGTCGAACACCAGGCAGGGACCAACAAGTACCACATTTTAACGTCTTTTGGTTTGACGCGGTTGGGGATCGAACCCGCGAATTTCCGGGCGGGTGCTCTAACCACTACACCATGGAGGCAGTCTTTGACCAGTGAAGTACAGACAGGACCACTAATTATTGTCCACTCACTGGTCATGTGGTCTAGTGGGAAAGTTTGAAAGGTCTCTTTCCCTGTATTACTATTCGCGCTTATTTCATGACCTATTTAAGTGAGTGACGGAAAATCGACAGAGATATATAGACCTCCTTCAAAGATGACATTTGGACCCCAATCTGCAAGCAAACAGCAGTAACAATTCCTCCTTTCAATTTTCCAATTTATTGGAATTTATGATGGTAAGAAAATCTTTAAAATCCAAACTTTGAAAAACACGATTTTTTCCCCAGTTTGTGTAACAAGGTCACTTGATTTGGAATCCTGGATAGATCCCTGCCAGCATAAATTTGCAAGCCATTAACTTTATCATTTAAGGTAGATACACAGTACCAACATTGATGATGCCATAAATAGGATTAAGTCCATCACTAGCATGTGGTGTAATGAGGGTCTAGACTCTCTGAAACGTTTATCAGTTTGGTAGGACTATCTGATTCACACACTCACCAAATCAATCATGTCGGCTGTAATCTGTCCCACAGTCGTCTTCTTGCTGTTGTAGTCTTGGCCCAGGTAGCGCTTGCTCAGACCACACAACATCGGCAGCAGACGGTCATCCTCCTCCAGGTGCGGCAAGGCTCGACATGTCACCTGATGTGTAATGATCCAATAGGGAGTGAGTTTAGCTTTACTAGCTTTACTATTCCAGCAATATCACAGCAAGGGACACCAGAAATGAGCTTCACACATTGTACCTATGTATGGAATTGAACTCGGGTCTTCAGCATGATGAGCAGTTGCTTTAACCACTAGGCTACCTCACCTCCACCCCCATAATGATCCAGTAAATACCATCATAAAAGCTGTGTCATTTGGCTGGTATAAGGAATTAGTGTTACAGTGATTACTGTTTGTTCATTTGTATTTGTTTGCTTGTACTTTAACTTTAATGAGTGAGTGAGTTTAGTTTTACGCCGCTCTCAGCAATATTCCAGCTATATGGCGGCGGTCTGTAAATAATTGAGTCTGGACCAGACAATCCAGTGATCAACAGCACGAGCATCGTTCTGCGCAATTGGGTACCAGTGACATTAAATTTTTATGGAGTAGCATGTAATATGTGATTGACATCCCCCAAAAAAAACCAAAAAAAAAAAAAAAAAAAGTATGTACAAAGTAAGTGACCCCCTCTGCATGTCAGGTACAAAATCAATGACCCCATCCCCATTCCCATAATTTTTAAGGCATAATTTGAAAAAGAATGTATGTACAAAATTGCTGACCTCACCTAGAATCCATATGGCTTATCCTTACTCATTCAGCACCTCTTTAATTATGACACATATTTTTTCCACATGTTCCAGGCAAATAAGTTCATATTAAAACAAATACAATAGAGAGGCTAATATTAAAGAACCACGAACAACCGTATGTACCACATTCGTCAATCAGAACCTGTTTAGAACTGTAAAGCAGTTGTGTGAGTGAGTGAGTTTGGTTTTACGCCACTTTAAGCAATATTCCAGCAATATCACGGCGGGGAAAACCAGAAATGAGCTTCACACAATGTACCCATGTATGGATTCGAACCCGGATCTTCGGCGTGACGAGCGAACGCTTTAACCACTAGGCTCCCCCACCGCCCCGTAAAGCAGTTGAACTTACTGCAAGAGCATGTGACAGTCTGGTCCTGTAGACGGACAGCAGAATGGACGCTAGATCCTCCTGGGCAACAAATGCAAAGCCTCGCTCCAAGTAAACTCTCTTTCCTCGCACCAAATCCAGAGCTTCAGTGAAATGAACCTGTGACAAGAGTAAAGCAACTTGTCAAGAACATATATTCAGTTTTACCCAAAATGCTTACTTACGAAAAAGGTAATATATTATCAACTGTTCTGTCAGTAGGCAGACACATGTCAAAGATGTCTCCAACAATGTCAATCACAACAGGGAAACTCATTCACAGTGGCTGAAGATGAAGGCTGAGAGCCATGTTTTAGTCATCTGTTCAGTCTAAGTAAACTTAGGCTCAGTATTATTCGTTACACTGCTATACTGAGTCAGTATAGTTTACTCATTGCGTGTATCACTCGGAAGCGATCAAGCTGAAAATAGCATTCAGAATCGTTTGAGTTTTTGAGGTAAAGGTGTTAACTTTCGCGATGTGGTAAGCTCTGATTGGTCAGTCCAAAAGGTTAGCTGACGCGACCTTCTACTAGGTTTCGTTAGACTTAGTATAGCAGTGTAACGAATAATACTGAGCCTAAGTTTACTTAGACTGGTAATCTGTTGTGCTATGAATCGTAAGATGAACACATACCTTATAGTACTCATTGACCTCTACTCGGGCAGGTGTGTCACAAGCCACGAGGTATGGCAACACTTCTTTCTTTTCTTCATCAGGAATCTGTTCACAATGGATTAGCTTTCAAATACAGGGATAAGGGAACAGACATCTTCGAACATTTAGAAGAAGAAAATTTGGTCTAACTTATTAATCTTTCATCACACATGCAGCAGACATTAGTCATTGGGGTAACAGTTCCTTACGTACCCCCCACCTAATTTTTAACTATAAACTATAGACTAAACTATAGTGTTTGCTCATCACAACAAGTGTAGAAGTGAGCACTACTCACATACCCCCGCTTCCCACTTTGGGACATGGAAATGACTGATATTGATATATATAATGTGACAAGGATCAGCAGCTCACAAGACTTTCTCCTTGACTCTACTAAACTTTATATACATGTTAGATAATAGTTTTGCCATGTACTGATTACAGTAATAATTTATGGAAACATTATTTTTTGTGTTTTCCATGGAAACCTGACATACAATTGAACTTGTTGCACACAATGAAGTGGACGTAGATGAAGATTGTTATTTTCTAGCACATGGCATATCTGTGGGTCATGATTAACTTGTGTATTAAGTTTGGTGAACCTAGCATGTATAGTTTTGATGATATGCTGTGGCCAGGTAACCATCAAACACATTTTGCACCAAGTCATGTTTCCATGGAAACAACAAACAAATTCTGAAAAAAAATTAAAATATCAAAAGGCACATCAATGGGTAATGATTAACATGTGTGTGAAGTTGGTGAACCTAACATGTAAACTTTAAGAGATATGCGGTGGACAAAACCATCAAACACATTTGGCACAAAGTCGTGTTTCCATGGAAACAGCAAAAAAACAAAATTCTGAAAAAAAATATTAAAATAGCAAAAGGCACATCAATGGGTAATGATTAACATGTGTGTGAAGTTTGGTGAACCTAGCATGTAAACTTTAAGAGATATGCTCCGGACAAAGTTTCGGGACGGAAGGACGGACAGAATGAACGCTATATACCCCCATTACGTAAGGAACTCTTTCCGTCATTGGAGAAATATTTACTTGTACAGAATCTTTTCAGCTTAAGTTGAGATAGTTCAAGGTTTGTGGCGTTGATCACTGGATTGTGTGGTCAAGATTCTGTTATTTACAGATTTTGCTGTAATATTGCTGAGGGTGGCATAAAACTAAACTCAAACAATGTAAGACTAGCTCAAGAAGAGCTGGCAATAGTTAATGTTGACTCAATATACATAATTCACACACTGGAGCCCTGTATCACTATTACTCAGTTAATATTCAAGTCAAGGGTAAGCTAAACATTGGTTGGTATGAGTGCTGTCTGTCGAAGACTGTAACCTCTTCTCTTGAGACAAACAAAGAACTGTAACATCTATAGTGACTGAGTGAGTAGGGTTTTACGCCACTTTTAGCAATATTCCAGCAAGATCACAGGGGGGCACCAGAAAAGGCCTCCACCATTGAAACAATGCTGGGAATCAAACTGTGGTGTTATGAGCAAATGCTTTAACCACCAGGCTACACCAAAGCGCCCGGTAACATCTATTCAAAAATATTTAACACTAAGAGTTAGCACTTACTGGTTTGTAGCCAAGATTGTTGATGTTCAGGAAAGAAAGACGAGAGGTTCAGAGAAAGACGAGAATCTTTATTCTCTCGCTGGAATCGGAAACGGAAAAGGTCTAGCTCCTGCTGCAGAAACCATCGTCTCAAATCCTCTCTAAAAACATAATCAAACCACAGAATGGACTTTGTTTGATGAATGAACTATCAAACAGTTTGGGAATTGTGAACTTCACTAATTTGTCACAAAAGAAACATATACATTATTTGTTTAGCTCAATACCTCTTGAGATATCAATGAAACCATGTTGAAAAACAGCAACTTATTATGATGTCTTAATTTCAATGTTAGGTTTGTTTCTTTTAAACTTACGATCTGCAATATGCCAGCCTCAAGATGAAGTGAGAGATGTGGTCCAGTCTACGTGCATCCGTTTCATCCTCCTTCACCTCGCCTCCATAAGACACCTTGTGGAAAGTAGCACATGGTTGACAGAAATAAGTTTGGGAAACACATGACATGTTCATTTGCTTTGTTTGTAAATTATTATGTTTAAAGCCGCAATAAGCAATATTCCAGCAATATGAAGGCAATCTGTAATTGATAGAGTCTGCACCAGACAATCCAGTGATTGACATCATGAACATTGATCTACGCAGTTGGGATATGACGACATGTATCAAGGACATCTGGAAGCCTGACAACCTGATCCTGTTAGTGGTTGCTTACGGCAAACATAGCATGACAAAGGACAAATTCTAACCCGGGTCTAATGAGAAAGCTTTCAGAATATTGCTACCTTCAATAGTGACTTGAACTTGGTGTTCTTGATCTCCTTCTCCAAGTACGCAATATATTCAGCTGATCCTCGAACATGCCGGACAGAGGCAGTCTCAACAGCCTTCAGAACTGAAACAGTAAAGATGCACTACAACAGGGCTTGACAAAACTGCGGACAACCAGGACAAATAAGAAAATTTGGTTCTGGCCACCATGTGTATATTTCTACTGTTTAAGTAACATTAGCTATGAATAAGACATTGTTCTCAAATGAAAGAATTCTATCTTTGAGTGAGTGAGTGAGTTTAGTTTTCCAAAGATTATAGCAATATTCCAGGAATATATTTTGACATTAGATAGTTACAAAGACACATGAAACAAAAAGGTTTCTATGTCTATTTCGGAAAGAGTTCCTTCCGTTCCCCCAACCCTAAACCTAACTCTAAACCAAACCCTAAACCTAACTTAAATTATGGACTTTTAGTCATTTTTGTGAGTTCTCTAGTAATTGTTGTGTAAAGTTTTGTTAATAATTTTAGTATATATTAATTTATAAATATTATTTGGGATGGGGGAACAGGAGGAACTCTTACCAATTTAAGGGGCTTGATGGAAAATCTCAACAGTAACCGGACAGAAGCTTGGGGTCATTGGGGCCTCATTTGGCATTTGCATACACAAAATCAACTACTTTGTCTCTTAATTACAACAAACCTATGTGGACATAAATGACAAATCCATTGGTTTTTCATATGCAGGGGAAGCATTATACACTGATAAAAATATTTCGAAATTTTTGCTTGCTCGATTCTATATATTAATTATTATGGTTTATTGAATTTTAACCTACATAAACTAGTACTTATTTACATGTAGATCTTTGAAAAATAGTGCGTACAAATGATTGCTGTTTTCTACTGGTTAGTTTACGAGAACGAGTGTATTCCGAAAGAGTTAGCTGGCTGTAAGTCATAGCGGTCAAGAAATCATGCACAGACAAGGGCAACCAGCTGATTCCTTCCAGTCTGTTCAAGAGTGTGACAGCACTCACTTTTTAAGCGCTCGACAGCAAACTCTTCAAATTCCTGCAGAGAAATCGTCTCCTCTGGTGGCATTGAGTAAAACTGAAGTGGGTGTGCATATTTTTGTTTGACTTCTGATTTAATGCCACCTGCCCGTCGCTGTCTTGGTTTAATGATTTCCATATCCAAGTTTCATGCACGAAGAAACTCCCGCCAATTTATTTTCAATGGGGATTCCCTTCCGGTTTACGGGACAGTAACATCGTATATTCTTATAAACTATTCGTGCCCCTTTGAAAAACATTACAAAATAAAACTTTGTATCTGCATCTATCTCGGGTTTTTTTTACATTTTAATCCGTATTACGTATTCCGAATTTAGGGGAATAAATATATAACCGGTCTTTCTCTGAAAATGAAATTCATTCAAGTAGAGTAAGAGTAGTCCCTATCAAATAGTATGGTCGTTTATCATGTGACACCAACCAAACAAAATGGCGATCCCAAGTGCAGTTTTGGCTGCAGGATGGATTCCCTTTGTTGTTGTTATTGTCGTAAGTGTTAAGAACATATCACAAACAATAGAAGGGCCAAATCGTGCTACACCAACTAATATTAGTGACATGCTGCAAAACTTATAAACATGTTATATCTTTGAAGAAGACGCATTAGGTAGACAGTGATAGATGCGTACTGCAATATTTATAAGATATGTCACTTTGACATGGACGTCACTCTTCTACGATATGTATATCTGCACATGATTCAGCAGGTTAGAGATACCAGACCGGCGTAGGGAACGTCAGTAGAAGTATAATTCCCCAAACGACGTATTCGTTGGTTTCACATTACTTTTCAACTCGCTGTGCGTTCCCCGGTCGTTCAAATTCAAAAGCTGCCATTTCCTGAATACAGTCAATATGAACATTGGTCTTTTCTATTTTGGTACAAATTTAAAGTCGAATCCTATTTTTGTACAACATTCTACCTTTTTATTGAACTGAAAATGCCCCTATAATGAATTTAAATGTTACATCATAATGTGAAGATTATATTTAGAATTGGCGGGTTCATTGGCCCATAAACTGTATTGCCAGTGGAAATATTGGGCAATGACAATGTTTTCCAACATCTCAAAATGGTTCTTATGTGCAGACTTAAGTTTTACCTAAATTGAAGTAGAATACTTTGGCATATGTATGATACACTGGTCTGTGAACTGTTTGGCACAGAACATGTTTACATATTTATAGGAATTTGGAGCTCTACTTTCTGTGCCAATGCCCAGAGATTGCTCTGACACAGAAATCTTGCGGATCTTACACAATATGTGTTGTAAATAATCACAATAATTTTGCTGTTTGGTCGATGTGACAATAAATCCAATTCTCATAATTTGTAAATTAAAACCCCTTATAATATGCATGAGACTTTCTTGAAGACATTAAGTGTCATGATGACTCCAATATTCAGGAGCCTAGAGCAGTCACTGTATGCGTTGCAGGTTACAACTGGTCACAAGAAAAAAGTTTTTATTTGTGTACAGGTAAAATTTCTAATGATATATGTAAGAAGAGTAGAGTATAGAAATCATTTTCCCAGACACAGCCTGTCATCTCTCCTATTCACCCCATTCTTTGGGTAATGATTAGAATCTTTTCATTAATCATACTGTGTTTTAGAAATTACAACTTACTATTTACTGCTTAGTTGATCAGGAAAGTTGGACAGTAAGACGGATGAACATATAGTCACACCTTTTTACTAAAATCTAATCGGAGAAAGAATAAATATTATCAACAGCAACCTAAAAGCCATTGGCTTGCCAGATGCCCATATTGTTTATTCCACTGGTTCCTGAAAAATGTTTCTAGACTAGGGCATACAGACAAGTATTATGATTGTCTTTAGGATCAGCTGGAATGCTCTCTGATCATTTGGAGTGACCCAACTCATTGAGTGACACTTAGCATCATTTCCTATTTCACAATACAATCTTAGTGCTAAGACAGTCAACACTGCCATGTATTAACATTACTTATGAAAATCATAGGGCTAAGACTGCTTTGTGGAATACAACATGAGAAAGCTGGACTTTTGTGTACTAAACCTATAAACAGCATTCTCTCACCTACTAAAAAATTACTACTTCACCAATGTTCACTGATGTTTATTTCAGCTGACCCTGTTGTTTTCGGCAATATACATCCGTTATTATATGAGCAAATATGACAGTGAGCTGTCGACAACCCTGGCCACCATCTTTGCTCTGACTATCACCCTGCTGACGTCGGCCATTGTACCCGTTGACATCTTCCTTGTATCCTACATGAAAACAACTGATGGATCATTCAAGGTGACGTTATTATCATTATACTTGTATGATATTATGATGATGCTATTAAAGGCTTGTGTGTTTGTCCCAGGGGAACACAGGTGCCCCAGTATGTATCCCTTTTGAGTGCTAGAAGGTTATGATAGTGGGTTTGAATCCCATTGTCCCTCATGTTTCTAGGTTTGTCAGCACCAAGGTGGTAAATGTTATAGAAATGTATCACTTTCACCTGCCTTCTCCGTCAGTCTGTGGGGTGGGGTGGCCTACTGGTTGAAGCATTTACTTATCAAGCCAAAGACCCGGGTTTGTATCCCCACATGGGCACAATGTGTGAAGCCCATTTCTGGTGTCCCCTGCCGTGATGTTGCTGGAATATTGCTAAAAGCTGTGTAAAACCATACTCACTCACTCACTCTCCGTCAGTGAGTTGGGTTTTATTTTAGCAAATTCCCAGCGATATTTAAGTGTGGAACACCAGAAATCAGCTTCACAAAGAATCACATGTTGTACCCATGCAGGGAAATCATACCCAGGCCTTTGGCATGTTGAGGTAACTTTTAACCACTAGGTTATCCCATAGCCCCTGTATCTAATGAAAGTATTTGATTAGAAAAGTGGTGGAAATATTTGATTAAAAAATACACATGGTGTTGGGAAGGTTAGAAATTGAAACATCATTTCTGTTTTAATGCATTGTACATGTTGGAATGAATCGGGTAAAATTGTTAACATATTAAGCTGAGTGTATTACGTTTTTTATAAATGTCGTGACTGTTGACTGAGAATAGTTCCAAATGATTTTCATTTTATTTATCACAGAATACAAGTCATGTAATTTTATAATATTGAAGTTTTTTAGCACTTTTTTCTATTTTATGTTTCATTATCATCATGTTTATCAATATTATTCTTGCAGGTAAAATATTATCTGAATTGTTTTCAATTTGTATTATTATTCTCAAAAAGTCTGATTAAATGAACAAGATGTATGACAAATTTATCATCAATCTCAATTACATGTTTTTGTAGAATTATGAGTTGAACAATGATGGGTTTTTTTTTTTTTATATTAAAGGATTGGGCTAATGACTCTGCCTCCCGAGCTTCAATTGAGCATTCAATCCTTTATGGCTATTACAGTAAGTGATGTGACCCGTGAAGATCTGGGTTAGAATTGGCCTTCACCATTCATTCTTGTCATAAGAAGCTACTAACAGGAGTGGGTGGTCAAGCTTGCTGACTTGGTTGACAGATGTCATCACATCCCAATAACACAAGTGGATGCTCATGCTGTTGACCACTGGATTGTCTGGTCCAGACTTCATTAATTACAGACTGCTGCCATATAGCTGGAATATTGCTTAGTGCGGCATTAAACAACCAACCAACCAATCTAATTAGATCTAGGATCAGCAGCAGCCAGATTGTCTAAGGCACGTCATTTACTGTGCATCAAAGTTTCGAAATGCTCAGAACAAACGAGCAAAGCATTAAGAGTCTCTGAGCAAAGCCACACATATTCTTGGCTCACTGCTTCCCCAAAATCGCTCAAAGAGAGAAAGGTGTGCAGCCTGCTGTTTATACTTGATCTAATGACCCAAATCTTGTTCATTTCCAGCGCTGTATGCTCTCGTGACGTTCTGTCTGTTCATCTTGCTACCCTTCTTCTATTTCTTCTATGAGGAGAAAGATGAGGCTACCCCTACATCATGCAAGAGTGTAAGTCTTTCCTGCAGACTTGCAGTCAGGCCAAATAAAAAAAATGTTGTGGTTCCCATTACACCTCTTTAAAATTTAGGGTAGGTAGGTAGGAATGGGTTTTTTTACATATTATTTTTAGAAGGAAAGTACAAACTAATAACACATGTATCAATGTGTAATTGTTTATTCGATCAAGCTTGCGGCCATCATATCGACTGTCTCTATCAGAATGACCGATATCTGTCTGCGCCGGGGAAAAACAATGGTACCTGAAAGCTTATTTTATTCATTCTGCTTAGAAAAGTAGGGTCGGCACCAGAATTCAAGTGTCGGTTGGATAGTTGGAACCACAACATTTTGTTAGGCCTCACTGTGCATGTTTACACGTCTCCATACAGGTTTTCCCAAGCAGCGATTCATCATGACTACCAAACAATTAATGGATTTATCTTGACCTTATTTATCTAAAAGCACTCATTTGGTGCCAAGTTTGAGCTCAAAATCTCCATAAAGGTGAACATTTATGGATGTCAACTTCTGTATTTTGAGGAACACAATGTTTTGTGTATAGTCTTGCGCCTGTATCAGGGTTATAAAAAACCAGGAAACAGATAGCTATAGAAGTACATGTGAAGCAACACCAGTGAATCCGTGATAAGATAATAAAGAAAGCCAGTATCTTATCGTATGTTATCACTTATTACGGGTTAAATTAGGTCCCCAGCTTTGTATTGTCATCATAAGAGGCACTAACTTATCAGGGGATCAGGCTCTGGGACTGTGTGGCATGTTTTTACAGCTGTAGAAATTGCTCATGATATCAATCACTAGATTATCCTAATACTTATCCACACAGGATTCTGTACTGACTGGCCTGATATAGCTGTACTACTGCTTTGTGTGGTGTTTATTAAGGCTGTAACGATTCACTCGCATATTCGGTGAATCGAACCGTAGCCCTTCATGAATTCAATTCGTTATTTGTGGTCACCAGAACCGAATATTCATGAATATTTAAAAATTTTAAGGGAGTGTGTTTTACTTGAACCCTTATGCCCTTTTTCAAAATGAGATATGCAAGAATGCATTATGTACTAGCCTTGTAGTAGTCATGTTAGTTTGCCAAGGCCGCACATGGTACTGTCAACTTAACTATTACATACCAAATTTGAGTGTCATGAGATGACTGGTTATTGCTGTGACAAATTAACACTGTCAACATAGGCATTCAATATTGTGCATCAGTCATTGTATTCGAGAATAATTCTTCGTATTTGTTACCCAATATTCGTGATACATATCATATTCGCAACATAGTGTATTCGTTACAGCCCTAGTGTTTTTCAGTATTAAAAGTATGACACTGTGGACTCTGTGTCGAGTAAATCAATGTGTGTCAAAGGTGTCCTATATGCAGAATTCCAGTATGAGGAAGAACCCTGTTTAAATCATTCGATCCATTTGTAATCGATGATCCTTAATCAATGGTATTGGCTTTCCCCCTCAAATAACTCTCCTCTTCTCTGCTCCCACATATAGATCTCGCCCGTGAAGATCCGCAGGTTTAGAATTGATCTTCAGTAACCCATGCTTGTCGTAAGAAGCGACTAACGGGATCAGGTGGTCAAGCTCGCTGACTTGATTGACACATGTCATCGTATTCCAGTTGTGTAGATTAATGCCCAAGCTGTTGGATCACTGGATTGTATGGCCCAGACTCGATTATTTACAGACTGTCACGGTATAGCTGTAATAGTGCTGAGTGTGGCATAAAACTAAACTCACTCATCCCCACCTAGATCTACTTCACATGTTTGGTTTATGATGATGAAATATGTGTCCAAACATGTCTATGATGGAAATTCATATGTAAATGTACAATGATGTTCAGCGATTCATTAGTAAATGAACTTATATATTCAGAGATGCTGTACAGCTCTGAAGTACCTGATTGTGTTTATCCTGGTCGTCGCTACTCTCATGTTGATTGGGTTGGTATATGTTTCTGTTATATTATTTAGGGGTTGGAATTGAAAGTACCAACTAGCAACTGATGTTCCCTAGTTTGTAAACTTGAGCATGAATCATTTAGGGACAGTTCATAATCTATGGCTAGGTTTGTGTGATGATGATTTTTATGGAGGGGCATGTACAATGTGAACCACCACCCCACCCTCACCACCCCAAACCCAACCCCCTAAAATTTAAGTTCAAAGTAAGTGGGACACACAAACACCCTATGTCATGTACAAAATCTATTACCCCCTGCTATGTTTTAAGCATAATTTTTATAATAATTACTCTCTCTCTCTCTAGAGCTCACACACACACACACACACACACACACACACACACACACACACACACACACACACACACACACACACACACACATCTCTTTAGTACATGACCCACCCTACCTCCCCAGAACAAAATGGGTGACACCCCCCCCCCCTCTCCTCTCTCCCTCCCTCCCTCCTCCCTCCCTCCCTCCCTCCCTCCCTCTCCCTCTCCCCCTCCCTCTCCCTTATGGTCCCTTATAAGCAAGTACTGATTTTCTATGGATACTCTGGACATTTTCTTTGTTTTTGATTAGTGCTTTGATTAATATAACTATTCTCCTGCTATGTTTCAGTGCTTTTGTTCCCACCAAGGGCACTCCCAACGCTAATTCTACTGAGTGGAAGCAGATAGAAGCCCTTTTCAAGGACCTGGCTAGCAATGGTGAGATCACTTGTCTGTTGGGTAGTGTTGGGAATTGGTTGAAATCTCACAATTGATAATTGGTTCATTACCAACGAGTAATCATATAAACAATTGCTTAGTGTCATTTTTCATATTTTCCTGTTCAGGTTGTTATTGATGATAAGTATAATGTGGTTCTCTGTTGTTGTTTGTTTTATTAAGAAACTGTAATGTAAAATGGAGTCTTCAAGAAATGTTTAGTCATGACTTTTCAATAAGTGAAGTGAATTATCTAAGAATTAAAATCGTTTTCAGGCCCTGACAACTTCTGTTCCATCATCAAGTGTTTCAAATACTAAAACATTAGTTCAAAAATCGTTCGTGTTTGATTATGAGAAAATGTGATCAATTGATTGGTCGTTTGGTCACTGTGACCTGTCTTTGATTGGTTCATCAGAACACCACTACTGTTGTGTAGCATTGACCTCTACCTCAGAAAGTACTGGAATCTGTACTTTATTAAGAAAGTGTAATCCCAAATATAACATGTTGCATTTGACCACTTTCTAACAGGCATTTTGTATTCATATGGTCTTTATGAATATTACTGTTTTTTGCAAATTATTAAAATAAATTAGAATTAGCAAAATACTTTTGGTCACTTATGTAAAATCCAAATAATCCCAGAAATATATGTGCTGTGTGAAACCAAGCATACTGTGTAGAGATCATTTGTGTGTGATTTTGCCTGTTTGATTTCTTGGCTTTGATTTTTGTGATATTGCTGTAGCTTTCACATTGTCGACCTTACTTCATCACTCACTCTGGATCAATTGTGTGTTCTAACAGGGTTGGAAGACTCTCTGTCCTTTATCATCAGTGTGTTGAGCCTGCTGGGAATGATGGCCTTCATCATGTATACGGTACGTGGAAAGAAATTACAAAACTGCAGACTTGCCTATCCTTACTATTTGAGCGTAAGGCTTACTATTTTTGGTGCATAATTACGATCTTACGATCATACTGAAATTCCTTACAACTTCTACAAGTAAGTGGTAGAATACTAGATATAGGCATGCCCATGCTATTTACAGAGTCATTTATGGTACATAAAGTACTGAAAACAGAAGTCGCATCAAAAACATTATAAATAAATAATCTTTGCATCTTACAGTGCTTGTAAAGTTTATTTCAAAGTGAAAGACTTTATAAACGTCAATTAGACTGGCACCACATTTGACTAATTGACTGTTAAAGGCTATATTAAGATTTTAACCAGCTATGTTTTTCCTTTATTTCTTGACAGTAACATGCCCTACTATCAAATACACCTGCCTTACTTTTATTTTTTAGTTGATCTTACTATTTTCTTTAAAAGGGGTAGGCAAGTCTGAAACAGCAAAGTCAGAGGCGAGTAGATATCAGTCTATTTCACCGTGATTCCGTGTTAGAGCGTTCGCTCATCATGCCGAAGACCAGGGTTCAATTCGACACATGGGTACAATGTGTGAAGCCAATTTCTGGTGTCCCCTGTCATGATATAGCTGGAATGTTGCTAAAAGCGGAGTAAATCCAAACTCACTCACTGCATGGCTGTATTCCTACTGGCTAGGGTAATCACAGCATCCAGACAGCTGCCGTCATATAGAGCTGGAATATTATTGAGTGTTATGTTAAACAATAACACCCTGCTGTATTCCTGACCTCATCAAGGGCTGTCTAGGGTAATCACAGCAGCATGGCTGTATTCCTACTGGCTAGGGTAATCACAGCAGCATGGCTGTATTCCTACTGGCCACAGCAGCATGGCTCATTCCTGCATCACAGCAGCATGGCTGTATTCCTACTGTCTAGGGTAATCACAGCAGCATGGCTGTATTCCTACTGTCTAGGGTAATCACAGCAGCATGGCTGTATTCCTACTGGCTAGGGTAATCAGCAGCATGGCATGGCTGTATCACAGCCTACTGTGGCCTACCGGTCAGGGTAATCACAGCAGCATGGCTGTATTCCTACTGGCTAGGGTAATCACAGCAGCATGGCTGTATTCCTGCTGGTCAGGGTAATCACAGCAGCATGGCTGTATTCCTACTGGCTAGGGTAATCACAGCAGCATGGCTGTATTCCTACTGGCTAGGGTAATCACAGCAGCATGGCTGTATTCCTACTGGCTAGGGTAATCACAGCAGCATGGCTGTATTCCTACTGGCTAGGGTAATCACAGCAGCATGGCTGTATTCCTACTGTCTAGGGTAATCACAGCAGTGGCTGTATTCAGCAGGGTAATCACAGCAGCTGTGTATTCCTACTGTCTAGGGTAATCACAGCAGCATGGCTGTATTCCTACTGTCTAGGGTAATCACAGCAGCATGGCTGTATTCCTACTGTCTAGGGTAATCACAGCAGCATGGCTGTATTCCTACTGGCCAGGGTAATCACAGCAGCAGCAGCATGGCTGTATTCCTACTGGCCAGGGTAATCACAGCAGCATGACTGTATTCCTACTGAATGGTCTAGGGTAATCACAGCAGCATGGCTGTATTCCTACTGGCTAGGGTAATGACAGCTGCGTCATCTGGAGGCCAATGACAGAAGCTGCATACGGAAATGTCTGCTGGTGCTACGTCCGTTTGAGATGCTGTTTGGCTTTTTGTTTCTTCTCGTGGCCTTGCTCATCTTCATCTCACTGTTGCTCACCAAGTAGGTTCAACTCATAATGGACTCAAGTTGTACTCATCATAAATATGATTTACTTGTCATACCCGTGACGGGTTGCTTTGATATAAGATATATGCTTTGTTATACAGATATCTGACAGACCACTTTACAAAGCCAGTTAACAGAAAGACTCTCATACTTAATGGTTGCCTTTAAACTAAGAACAGACCTTAGTGGATCAATCCCCTGTCTTATCTTACCGACCTGTGAAGATCGGGGTTAGAATTGATCTTCAGTAACCCATGCTTGTCGTAGAGGCAACTAACAGGATCAGGTGGTCAGACTCACTGACTTGGTTGACACATGTCATTCATCGTGTATCCCAATTGCGTAAATCGATGCTCATGCTGTTGATCACTAAATTGTCTGGTCTAGGCTCGATTATTTACAGACCGCCGCCATATGGCTGGAATATTGCTGAGTGCGGCGTGAAACTAAACTCACTTGCTCTTATGCCAATAGAAAGATAGGTAATACAGGGATAAAACAAGGACTGTTTGGTGTCTAAGTGGGGAATCCATGTTAAATTCAGAAGACAACTGAAATAATAATAAGTCAAGCCAAATGCAAGCAATAAACCCATACCTCCAGTTCAACGCACACTAGTGCAAAATCTTGAACGCATCATTTAACCCAATCAGATCACCTCACCTGTTATTTGTTGACTGAAACTTGTATTATGGAAGACATTCAGCTCCCTTGCTGGACAATTGATCGAATGATCAGTCAATCAGTGAATCCTCAGGAATGATTAATGAGACTAATCAATATTCAGAAAAAATGAAACATCAAATTAAACTTTAGAAGTATATTTCTTATTGTTATGTTTGTCACAGACATTGTGAATATTCTGATTGTTGTTGTTAAGATAAACTTGACTATGTCAGGGCTCCAGATAACTTTTGGGGGATCGCGAGTGTACTTACATCATTATTGCAAGTGGAGGTGTACTGAGATTTTTGAAGGAGTCCTGACATGTTTTTGTGTGGCGAGTTGGTGATGTGGTTTGTCTGGACGATTCATCGATCACTATGGTCCGATATAAATAAGATCAGTGTAGTTTTAGGCAAGCGAAACATAGTGGCGCTATATCGTTGCCTGGCAGCGCAAGTGATTCCTATTGTCGGGTTTCCTCATGTGTCAAATCATGTTTAGCAAAAGAAACTTGACAAGTATTTATCGAAATAGATTTCCATTTGCATGATCGCCGCGGAAACTAAATGTTAGGCGATACAATTGTATTTGTGTGCGTATATTATCGCAGCGAAATCTTATATTATGTAGAAGACTTAATTGATTTTGAGGCATTACATTCATGTCGCATTATCTGTAGCCCTGACTGTAAGCTGACATGTTTTATAGTTATTCATGCAAGTAACGATTGTTCTTAAGCCTCTAAAAACCCACAAGATGAAGATACACAACACAGAGAGGTGAACTAGGAAATAACCTTGATCATCTTGATCGTAGTATTAATCGGTGCCTGTTTCATTTTCACAGTGTTTTGATTGTGTCTCGTTATAAGTTCTGTCGTGGGGTTTCATCAATTATTGATTGATTACTGAGCTACAAGTATTGTGAGTGATAACCAGTGAGTTTAGTTTTACGACACTTTCAGCAATATTCCAGCAATATCACAGTGGAGGACACCAGGAATGGTTTTCACACATTGTACCCATGTGGGGAATCGAACCCGTGTTCTTGGCATGATGAGCGAATGCTTAACCACTAGGCTACCCCAGAGTGATAACCAGCACCAACTCCCTTCACTATTCTTAGTAAACAGCAATGTTTTAGTGCTATTTTTAAGGGGTAAATAGGTATTACAGCACTGAATGGTGTTCTTTTCAGTATTGACAAAGCCATGCACAGTAAAGGATACAAGATTGGCTACGCCCTGGCTCAGAGGAAGCTGCCCAACCCTGTAGACATTGCACTGGTCTTCTGTCAGATGGTACGTACATCACACTCAGACATTGATTGTCAGTTACCATATGAAGTGTTACTTCCTTGTACGTTGACGTCACTGACACTATCTACTGTCGTTCTGCAGGTGTTCCCTCTGGACTACATCCTCATGTCGGGCATCATCGTGTATTTCGTCTTCTGCTCCATGTCTGGAATCCGCAACATCGGCATCTGGTTCCTGTGGATCAGGGTCAGCGTCTCCTCCTTTATGTTCATGTGTTCATTCAGACACAACATTTCATCCAGACATGACATGCATTCAGACACAACATTCATTCAGACACAACATTCATTCAGAATGTTATTTAGAACTGCATTCAGCTGTTGGGAATTGGTTGAAATCTCAAATTTCACATCCAATGTAAAGACCGATTGCAACTTTTCTGTTGTTGTTGTTGTTGTTGTTAAGGGGGAGTATATTTAGAAACTGCTTTAAAGTGATGATGACTAATAATATTATGAGCATAAACTTCCCAGAATCTTCAAAGAAATATTCAGTCATGACTTTTCAGTAAGTGAAGAGAGTTTTCTAAGAATTAAACATGTTTTCAGACCAAGACAACTTATAAGATATGTTCCATCATCAAGTGTTCAAACACTAAAACAGTAGTTCTAAAATTGTTTGTGTTCGATTATGAGGAAAGGTTAACGCAATTACGTTTGGTCACCAAGCGACCAATATTCGATTATTTCATTTAATTTGAACACCACTACATTCAGACACAACATTCAGACACAACATTGTGTCATTAAATTACAGTAGTTCCTTCAAAACTAAACTTACAGAAAAATTTAAATAGAAAATATCTTCCAATGAAATGTGAAAGGATCCACTTTTCATTATAGTAAATGTGTCTGTGTCTCAGAAACTATAGAAAGCAAAAGTCATGGTAATATTTTTAGTAAGATATTAACATTACTCATTTACCTTATGTGTCATTGTATATTCAGCAAAAGGATCATTAATGCAAGAAATTATGTTGATTTCTCCCTGTTTCGAATTCCTATAATGTAGACAATGGAGTATGTTTTGGTGTATCAGATGTACAAGATCCGTCCCCGTCGTACACGGCCCCAGGGCCTGCTGATGTTGTGCATGATACTGATGTTCATCGTGTTGGCCATCAACATCATTGTGTATGAGCTGACACCACAGTACTCCACCTTTGGCAGTCAGAAATATGTGAGTCAATTTTGTTTTCCTTCACACTATGACTTCTCTTCAAATTGAATTGGTCCCTTGTAACACATGCTTGTATTTCAGGGTGACTTTCTCCTGTCATTAGTTATCCTCAGTTACATTCTCAGATGATACACGATACACACTTGCATGTATCAGTTTATGTTTAATCCTGTATCAATTCATATCTTAATCACCCATGAAAATTTGATCTTCAGCAACCCTTGCTTGTCGTAAGAGGCGACTAACAGGGTCGGGTGGTCAGGTTCACTGACTTGGTTGACACATGTCATCATATCCCAACTGTGTAGACCGATGCTCGTGCTGTTGATCACTGGATTGTCTGGTCCAGACTCGATTATTTACAGACCGCCACCATATAGCTGGAATATTGCTGAGTGCGGCGTAAAACTAAACTCACTCACTCATATATTAATCTCGTAGCGTTTAATACTGGAACCCTTTCAATCATGGGGTTCAGGGCTTGAGTGGCGGGTCTAAGAGGCGTCATTTCACACTGATGCTTGAAAAGAAACATTAATACCATTTCTGTTTCCAGGGCAACATGACTGGAGGATCAAACACAACATCCACTCCACTACATCAGTGTACCATGGAGGTGGCAGGTGAGTGTAATGGCGGAAGTCTGGAATGACTTATACCACAGTATTTCAGCAGAATGTGGAATGAAAACCTGACATGAGGCAGGTCATACAGGTTTACCTCTTCAGAGAAAGGGCGGTGGGGTAGCCTAGTGCTTAAAGCGTTTGCTCTTCATGCCGAAGACCAGGGTTCAGTTCCCCACATGGGTACAATGTGTGAAGCCCATTTCTGGTGTCCCCCGCTGTAATATTGCTGGAATATTGCTTAAGCGGCACTCACTCACTCACTCACTCACTCACTCACTCACTCACTCACTCACTCACTCACTCACTCACTCACTCACTCACTCACTCACTCACTCACTCACTCACTCACTCACTCACTCACTCACTCACTCACTCACTCACTCACTCCTCTCACTCACTCTCACTCACTCCTCACTCACTCACTCACTCACTCACTCACTCACTCCACTCACTCACTCACTCCTCCACTCACTCCTCACTCACTCACTCCTCCTCCTCCTCACTCCACTCCTCCTCACTCACTCACTCACTCACTCACTCACTCACTCACTCACTCACTCACTCCTCCTCCACTCACTCACTCACTCCTCACTCACTCCTCCTCCTCACTCACTCCTCCCTCACTCCTCACTCACTTAAAACCCATTATGAGTCTATATCTAATCAGGGTTTTACCCAACATCTGAAATGTGCATCCAGTACAAACATGAAAAAATCACTGCAATATTATTTCACTGTACCCTGTAGTAGTGTCGTGAATAACAGTTGTTCAGGTTCTACCCACACTTCCAGTGCATCTCATCTGGGGCTTCAATGGGTACTTGAGTACTGGAGCATGAGTCAGGTTTAGCTGGACTCGAGTCCAGACCTGTCAGCCCCTAAACTGGTCAAGAAAATAGACTTCGATGAAGCCCTAGTCTACCCACCATACTTTGTAAGCATCCTACCTCACATAGTGCATTTTCCAGATTCCAACATTCCATCTTTAAAACACTTCCCCATTGATGTCATAAACAGCAACATTTTGACCATGGAAACATTTAATAGCCTCTTATGGCAAGGATAGTAATCCAGATAATGAGTGTGTTCACTTGCAATATAGAGTGTCAATATAACGTGACTGAGTGGTTTTTCAGGGTTTGCACAGCTTGATATTTGGACTTCTTTTACCTTAAATAGGCCCTAAATTCATTTTAGCCTTGAAAAGGCCCTAACTGACAGTGATTTGCCCTTAAAAGGCCCTATATTTATTAAAGCATGTCAAGTTACGATTTTACAAGAAACTAATACATAATAAAAATACCTTGCAGTGATAGTGATATTAATGTCAATCACAAAGCCCTAACAGGAATGGGTGGTCAGGCTCGCTGACTTGGTTGACACATGTCATCGGTTCCCAATTGCGCAGATCGATGCTCATGCTGTTGATCACTGGATTGTCTGGTCCAGACTCGCTTATTTACAGACCGCCGCCATATAGCTGGAAAATTGCTGAGTTTGGCATAAAACTAAACTCACTCACTCAATCACAAAGCAAACATTTTCCCAGTGCAGTGATATAGCTAACAGTTATTTCCCTCTGATGGTCGGTAAGGGTGGTGGGGTAGCCTAGTGGTTAAAACGTTCGCTCATCAAGCCAAAGTCCCGGGTTTGATTCCCTACATGGGTATAATGTGTGAAGCCCATTTCTGGTGTCCCCTGCTATGATGTTGCTGGAATATTGCTAAAAGTGGCGTAAAACCATGCTACGTTATGTGTTATATGTGTTTCTATTGTTCTTAAAATTGTTGATTGGGCCTTGAAAATACTCTCAAAAGGCCTTAAATGTGAAGAGCTGATAATCTGTAATGAACCTTGGTCTAACATGACTGCATGTTGTTTTTCAGAGGATTAGCGTGGTGGCGAGGATGGCTCTGCTTCTGACACGGTTCTTCTACAAGATGTGGTTCTTTGGAGCCGACCTACTACTGGGGCACTTGGGTCTTTCTTGGGGTCAGTATACAGAGGTTTTCAAATGTGTATAGGAGGTTTCAAATGTGTACAGACTTTAATTTATCATTCAAAACGATCACATAAGTTGTGTCCCTTCCTCTCTCTCTCTTATACTTTCTCTCTATTTCTTCCTAAGAAGATCTGACCGCCTCCATTGGTGTAGTGGTTAGAAGCGTTAGCGGAGGCCGGAAGATGTCGGGTTGATCCCGACCACATCAAAACCAAAAGCGTTAAAATATGGTACTTGTTGGTCCTGCCTGGCGCTTGGCATTAATGGGTACAACAAGGACTGGAGTCAATAAAATGTGTCTGAGTGGGGTATTCATGCTTCACTGCGGCATGGTATCTCAGTGGGCAAGAACTATAAAAACAGCTTAAGTCTGGGCTAGTACAAGCAGCCGCACGTATACATACACGCGCACGTATGTCGTCCTATGGCAGAAATAATATTCTCAAGCATGGCGTTAAACCCAATTTCACCTCACCTCACCAAACACATCGGATGAGATTCAGACCCAGACTTTGTTTTGTTTGATTATCTCATGCCTGAATACACAGAAAAATATATGTTGATTTGTGTGGTCATCTTGCAAAATATTACAATATCTGCTTCGTCTTTTTCTAGATATATGTCCTTGGATTCATAATTGCTGTGATAAAGAAGAGAAAGTCATCAATCGATGGGGAAATTGACGAGGATGACTTTGATGAAAGTGATGATGAAGACCTGCTTCGGGGCTAGACACAATAGGTTTTAGAATACGATTTGGTTCAACTGATATGTATGTATTAAGGTTCCATCTTCAATGTACAGTATGCACGAAAAAGAAAGATGCACAGTTTGGGATCTGTATCACTGCTTATGTTTTGATTCAAATCAGTTTGTGTCTTTCATTAGTTGAACGAAGAATTTTAAGAAATATATTTGGTAATGTTTCTAAAAAATATATTCGAGCACAAAAACAAATTAGGATTGTAGTGTGTATATATGTGACGTGTATTTATTTATATTTGCTCTAACTTTTGTTTATGTCCTCATTGATATGATTCAATGTACTTTGTAATGACTAATGACTAAAGATAGTTACACTCTTCTATCGCACTCATGACTGAGAGATTCTTAATATCATTAGACCTTCTCTTTGGCTAAGATGTTTCAGTTTAAGAGACTCATCAGTGTGCGGCTCAAACATTGCCAAACTCTTATAGAATTTTAACTGTCATATTTAAGTTTATAAAATTACTGTCATGGGTGCATAGGGTTGTTTCTGTTTTGTATGAGTACAACATATTCCTCCGTCGTGTTCATTCCTGTCTTAATGTGGGTTGGTTGGTTAACCGAGTGGTTAAAGCATTGGCTCGTCACACGAAGACCCGGGTTCGATTCCCCACATGGGTAGAATGTGTGAGCCCCATTTCTGGTGTCCCCCGCCATGATATTGCTGGAATATTGCTGAAAGCGGCGTAAACTAAACTCACTCACTCACTCACTCCTTTAATGTTGGTCTTTAGAAGGTCCAAAGAACCTAACAGGATCGGGTGGTTTGGCTTGGTTATTTGGTTGTATCCAGTGACTTGGTCATTGTATCCCAATTGTATAGATAGATGCTCATCATGTCAATCACTTGATTATCTGGTCCATACTCAATTATTGTAAATATTGGGGTCATAACTGGAAATATTGCTGAGTGCAGCATTAAACTAGAAGGAAAAAACAAACTCTCTTGATAAAAGGTTTACAATGTAAATGTGTAAATTTATTGGTCAATGTACATAAATGTTTATTGTGATGTTGTACATACTGTGTAATACATACAGACCCCAGTATCTCAAATATCCTAATATTTGCAACCTATTCTCTGGCCCTACCACCACACCATATAATACATATGTGAATTTAACGGCTTATCTCAATTTCAGATTGAAATACATAACTTTATCGCAAACCTTGAACTGTAGAATTTTGTACCTATATAAGTATGTAATAGCATGGCTTGAACATGGTTTTTAAGACCATGTGCATGAAAGAAGGATGTCATATGGACTTGCTGATATATGCTATCACCTGTTTTTACACTCAGCTTTCCTTGGGATATCTATAAAGTACATGTACACAGTTTATTTCTTTGAAACAGTGTGTCACTGTTGTGGAAACTGACACATGTCATTTTCATGAACTATACTCATAGTGATTGAAATCAACTTTATTAACTCTCCTGATACTATTGTCCAAGGCCAAACACTTACCCTGAAGCGAGTGTGCCAAACATTCTGGCTAAATCTTGGGCATATATGTATTCAGATCTTGAATATGATTTTTTTGACCCCACATATATGATTACTAATATATCTGGCATGTGTCAAATACATATACAGCTCCAATGAGAAGGGGTGGCGATGTTGCTGGAATATTGCCAAAAGCAGCAATACTCACCATACTCACTCACTATAACCATACTCACTCACTCCAATGAGAATATTTCCAATGAACCATAGTTCATAAATCATGTTTGGGCGGTGGGGTAGCCAAGTGGTTAAGTCGTTAAGCTCGTCACACCGAAGACACAGGTTCGATTCTCCACATGGGTACAATGTGTGAAGCCCATTTCTGGGGTCCCCGGCTGTGATATTGGTGGAATATTGCTAAAAGTGGTAAAACTAAACTAACTCATGAATCATGTTTGTTGTATAGTCAAGTTGACTTAAACCTTATTAGCTCTACTCCTTGAAGAGCTGTTGAACATCAAATGAAAGGTTATAGAATATGCCCTTTGGTTTGTCTATGCTTATATATCTAAGAATTTTCAGTTTATTTCCTTTTTGTCAATTGAAATATTTTGAATATACAAAATAAACAAAAACATGTCTTGATTTGAGAATGCTTTTCCAAATATCTTCAGAGAGGAAAAAGGTGTATAATCAAAATTAATTTTTTAAAATATTTTGTTATACTTGGTAAAATTGTTGATGTTCTTGTTGGTATGAAACAAATATGTTACCCTTGCCTTTAAAGAAATAGGAAGTGATTTCCCTTAAGAAGGTTTAAATACAGCACCTTTGTTACATGTGTAATATTCAGCAAAGAATGAGGGGGCCATGCTTATTCATTTTGTGGTGCATTTGTCGTGTTTATTTATGATTTGAAATAAACAGATGAACATAAATAATATCCATTCCCTTTTCTTGTTTATCAGAAGTTCCACACAGATTCTCTCCTTTGAAGGACATATGATACATCACACAACCAATAACTTACGAATACCCACAAAACTCTTTAGCTCACTACCATATATCTGGAATATTTGAACTGCCTACATAAATATTTGTTTTCATTTTGTACGAAACAACTCATGAAGATCGGGTAAGAATTGGTCTTCAGTAACCCATGTTTCTCGTAAGAGGGACGGGATCGGATGGTCAGGCTCGCTGACATGGGTGATACGTCATCGTATACCAAGGGCGTAGATCGATGCTCATGCTGTTGATCACTGGATTGTCTGTTCCAGACTCGATTATTTACAGGCCGCCGTCATATAGCTGGAATATTGCTGAGTGCGGCGTTAAACAACAATCAATCAATCAAACAAAAGAGACCGTTGGCTACGACCAGCGTTGAGAGCTACGACAGTCATAGGATTTCGATCACTTTGTGAAACAGGGTCCGGTTCCTCAAAGCGATTTTAGCGCTAAGGTAACTCCCTGAGCAGCGTTGAGAGCTACGACAGTCATAGGATTACGATCACTTTGTGAAACAGGGTCCGGTTCCTCAAAGCGATTTTAGCGCTAAGGTAACTCCCTTACTTTAACATTAGCTTAAAATGGTCGTAACGATAAGATCGCCTTGTGGAAAGGGTCCATGCGGACCATTCAGAGGTCGTGTTCGTCTTGGCAGCAGGTGCGTGAGCTTGTCATGGACCATCATACTGCCTGACAGATCTGTGATAATGTGGGGATCACGCAGGATGTTCCATCGCATACGCCTTGATGAAGCGGTCACTGGTATCTGTTTACCGTGGTAGATCGAGGCTCATGCTGTTGATCACTGGATTGTCTGGTCCAGACTCGATTATTTACAGACCGCCGCCATATGGCTAGAATATTGGTAGGTGCGGCATTACACAACAAATAAACAAAAATAGTGTTTAGGGATCACATGCAACCAAAAAAACAAACATAATTAAAACACAATAATCACTTATTCATGACATATAATATACATTGTTGATTATGAAAAGCAAAATAATAATAAGCGTACAATCGCAAATCAAAAGTGCAATAATTTGAAACGAAGCACCAGGATACCGAACCCAGTTAGAGCGGGTGGGCGTGCACTGAAGTGTAGCGAAGAGTCTTTCACTGGCTGGTTCTTTGCCGATACACTCTGGGCTCATTGTGTGTGTGTATAGAGATGTTGGGGTTTTGTAAATACATGCTCATTTTTGTGTATAACATTTTGCAATCAACAGACATCATAACATGTCATGTGTAAAAGTATCACACCTGCCTGTCTGTGTAATTACGTAATGTGACAGAGACCGAACTCGGGTGCACGAGCCATAAATCAATGCGTTTTGTTTATATAGCCTGATAAGTGTTAAGTTCAAATTGCATGAGGTCAGTGATCGAAGTTGTGTATTGCATATTGTCATTAGCAGACAGGCAGGCAGACACATATAAGTGTCAATAAAACAGACATTGAGATTTGTCTGTTACAGAGGCATATCTATATCACAGTTAGAAATTCTGACAATGTTAAATTATGACGTTGCTTTTTAGTATCGAACTGAGAAAGTGACTCCGCGAAGAAGAACGTGTGTTGAAATAGTCAAATGAACAATTAAATCGGTAAATCTACTCTCATAACATATGAAAAGCTTACGCCTGTCAAATATCAACAAAAAAGTCAAAACATTACAAAAAAATGAAACTCACATCAAAGCCTACTCCGAGTACTCACCGCCAGCGAAGGTTTTCCGTCTTGAAATGTCGAACGATTCACTGGTTGACACATAGCTGAGTAGATCTAGATCCTAACAAAGGTTCTTTTATGTAACGAGTAGATTATTTACTATTAATTTGTTTGTGTACACAACCAAGATTAGACTACTCCTGCTCATAAAGGTTGTCTCCCAAAACCCCTACATCCCATAACCCCTACAACCCAGTACCCCTACGATTAGTTACAACACCCAGCCATTACCTGTCTGGCATAATGAACTGACCAGGGAGATCAGGGGTGAAGTATACAGTGTGAGCTGCATAGAGTATACAGATGAGAAGGGATTAAGATTGTGCTGTTGTTATTAGGGTTTAATAATTCATTTTGCAAATCGTAATAATATCAGTTGTAAGAGTGTTGGAGATAGTAAACTGAGATAAATAATATGAGATGATTTTGGGTGATATTTACGAGGGGAGTTCAAAAAGTAGTCAGCCTAACTATATTCGCGATGTCCAATGTTTGAAAAGCTTCCATTTTATTTTGAAGAAATTATTAGCTAAGCCATACCCAAAAGTTTACATATCACAACACATTGGGGTATAGTATTTCTTTAAAAAATTGCAAAAAATGAAAAACGATCTGTCATTTGGTACCTCTTGGATAATGGCATGCCCTCAGATAATGTCATATATGTTCAGTATAGTATTTAATGACTACCCGTCATAATCAATGTTCAAAGATTTGTATTGTTTGATTTACATTTAGACGGGGGCTGTTTTTCAAGGACACCCCCATTTTAATCTTTCAAAAACTGTGTCCAGATGATCAAGCTGGTACTGTTTACAATATATTGAGAGCTGACATTTGTGTGACTATTCAATATTTTGTTTGAATAGGGCTGCCCAATATAACCAGTTTACCGGTTCACACATGAAAACGATACGTATTGATCGAGCATTAACAAAAACATCTTGCATTATCTTACCTCACACATAAATGTCGCTTTCTGATTGGCTGAGCGCTCTTCTATTATTTCAATGGACCCCGCTTACAAGCGAGTAACATTTCAATGTTACCCCGCTGTCTATGGCAACTCATTTGGTACATCGTGGTAGTAATTCTTTATCTCGAATTACATTGAATCACGTATGATGTACGGAAATTACCGATGTTTTGCGAATGCAAATCGATGGAAGGGAGATAAACCTAAATCTGTATTTCTTGTCAGCAAAATCTAGCGATGGCTACAAAAAGATTTGTACCCGTGTTTCAAACAATTCAAAATTAACATTAAGGTCTTCTGTAAGATAAATACGTTGTTCACTGGTCACGAGGGGTGCAGGGGTTGATGTACCATCGATGTTTCTTTATGTTCCCTGAGCTCTAATGGCATGGGAAACATAAACAAACATCGAGGGTACATCAACCCATGCACCCCACGTGACCAGTGAACAACTTGTAATATATTGCAATACATATCTCAAAATATGCATTCGCATTGCAATATATCGCAATATGAAAAATACCCACCCCAATGTATGAATAAGTGAAAACATGAGAACAAGCTATGTCCTTATGATTACGTTATCTGAAAGGGGCTGGGTAGTGTCTCCAAAACAAGCTCTTTCAGAAAACCCCTACAGCCCATAACCCCTACAGCCCAGAATTAAACCTCAAGTTCAATATCATTAAACTTTTGTTAAAATATTTTTGTTATCATTCTCTCAATTGCTAAGTGTTTGGGCTGGTCCATT